TACTCAGGGACACTGAACGCATTTAGTGTTACCTCAGGGACAGCACAGAAAGTTACTTACTCAGGGACACAGAAGTGTTACTCCAGGGACACAGTAAGTTTTTACTCAGGGACACAGAGAGTGTTACTGAGGGACACAGAATCGTTACTGAGGGACACAGAATTGTTACTCAGGGACAGACACAGAATTGTTACTCAGGGACACAGAATTGTTACTCAGGGACACAGAATTGTTACTCAGGGACACAGAATTGTTACTGAGGGACACAGAATCGTTACTGAGGGGACACAGAATTTGTTACTCTAGGGACAGACACAGAATTGTTACTCAGGGACACAGGAATTGTTACTGAGGGACACAGAATCGTTACTGGAGGGACACAGAATTGTTACTCAGGGACAGACACAGAATTGTTACTCAGGAGGACACAGAATTGTTACTCAGAGAACACAGAATTGTTACTCAGGGACACAGAATTGATTACTCATGGACACAGAATCGTTGAATTAAAGAGTATGTCAGACAACACGCATGAGGAGTGGCAGAGGAGGCAAATGTTTTAGGACGGAGCAGACGTGTCCTGGCAAGCAGAGGAAGGGGGTCGAGGGCAGCACTAGTCGCAGCCAGAGGCCAGTGCTCCCTGGTGTCATCACAGCGGTTCGTGCGTCTCCACGACAATACCTGCCGTCATCGATTGGTTGGTTCGGTCCGTCTTCCTCTTCCCAGGTCACCTCTGACACCTACAGCAACGGGTCGGTGGGTACGTCAGGGGACACAACCGTTAGTTGGCATGGCCGGGAGCAAGCCACCACTGAAATCACGTGTCCTCTACCTGCCCCGTGTCCTTTGGTGTTCCCTCACACCATAGCGAAGTATCGCATGCTGTGGGCTCAGCCCCACTGTACAGTGAGGAAGAGCTAACAGAGGGCGGTCAGGAACGGGGGGCGTAGACATCTGCCTCTTCAGCAGCCAGGCGAAGAAGTACTGGCGAGGAGAGTGGCTCAGTAGCCGGTCTAGAGACAGGTCTGTCTGTCCCTGACCCACCACGCAGCCGAGCGAGGGGGCTAGTAGTGAGGCGGAGACCCTAATTGATGATGAGGAGGCTGATTGCACTTGGCAGCCTCGTCGTCATCAAGCTATTTCTTCCGCATCATCAGGAGAAGAGGGTGCCAGCTTTGGCAGCGAGCGAAAACAGTCGGTGGGTTGCCCAGGAGGCTTGGGCAGCAGGGTCGCAGCAGTGTCAGTGGAGGCAAACGGCCACGGAGTAGAGCACCAGCTCCACTGCAAGCCTACCACACACGGCCAGTTTAGTTGGTGCGGTGTGCACGGAGGTAGTAGCAGTCAGCCAGTGAGGAGTAGCGGGGGCAAAGTTTCCTACTCGGCGGTGTCGGCAATTTTTCGTCAAGCCGCCCGAGGAAGTAAACGTAGCCGTTATATTTTTGTCGACTATGTGGCCAGAAAAGTCAAGCGTGGCCAGGGGGCCCGTGTTGGGACTACAGAGGTTGCGTCAGCATATGCAGCGTCGCCATTTGGTTGGCCTGGGAAAAAACCGTGATAAAGATACGGCGGTTCTGCCTGCACCTCAGCCCCCGCTCCATCACCCGCTCCCAGTTACTTGCTACGTCACCCGACGTCAATCGCCCCCTCTATCAGCCAGTCAAGGCTCCAACACCTCTGCTGAGGGGGGAGTTGTCGCTCGTTGGCATCTTTCCGCTCGTTCAGATGCTCCTTCTCCTGATACTCCTCTTCACGGATTCCGTCAGCAGTCTTTCTTGGTATCCGTTTCAAGAGACAACAGTTTGCTGAGCACGCACCACGACGGTGCAGAAGCTGAACGTCTCTCACTGTCACAAGTTGCTGGTGCTGCAGTCCCTCCCTTTCCAAGTGGTGGACTCAGCACCTTTCCGAGAAATAATGGCTTGTGCGCGCCGCGGTGGAGAGTGCCAAGCCGGCATTTCTTCTTTTATTTTTTTTTTTTTTTTTTTTCTTCGCCCAAAAAAGGCAGTGCCAGCCCTGCATTCACATGTAGAAGAGATGGTGGGCCAGTCTTTTGAGCATGTCGGGTCTCTGCCAAAGTGCACGGCATCGCCGAAGTGTGGAGCTGTAACTACGGTCAGGGACAGTACATGTCTTTACGGCCCCCACTGGGTGAACGTGGTGCCGTCACAGCCGCACCAGCAACTTGGACAGGTCACGGACGCTTTTGCCTCCACGTTTGCACGTCCTTGGTCCAGCAAACATGTCCGCCTCTACCACCTCTTCTACTCCGTGTCCTCCTGCCCGCCACCCCGTGCCAAGTCCCATTACCCGACGGCATATCACATGTGCAGGGCGCAACGGTGTCACGCTGTGCTGCACCTGGTATGCCTTGGCGAACGTAGTCACACAGGGGAGGAACTTCTGAGTGTAATGAACGCAGAGAAATCGACAGATGGCTGTCTCCGCGCAAACTGAAAATCGGAACCATGTTGACGACAACGGAAAAAGAACATGGTGTCTGCTCTGCGTCAAGGAAGGTTGTGCCATGTGCCATGCATGGCTCACGTGTTCAATCTGGTTGTCAAGCGGGTTCCTAAAATCCACCATCCCACTGACAAGACATCCTTAAAATGTCACGTAAACTTTGCATGCATTTTCAGCCATTCCTACACCGCAAGCACACCCTCCTTGAGCTGCAGCGGCAGAACAGAATGGAATTCCAACAGCATCGCCTGATCTGCGACGTTTGCAACAAAGGTGGAATTCAACCCTACACATGTTAGACCGCCGTTATGAACAGCGAAAGGCCATCACCGATTTCCTGATGTTACAAGCGGATAAAGGTACTCCCCATGTGTAACTTCGATAGGTCAGCCATTGGCGCTCATGCGTGACACCTGCCGCTTGCTCAGGCCCTTTGAGGAGGCCACGCTATTCGTGGAGTCGGCAGGACTATGGTGATGAACGACGTCATTCCTCTGTTGCACGTCCTGGAACAAATGCTGTTAACAATGGCTGGTCAGGGTGTGGTAGACGTTGGCGCACAGATCTCAACACCACATGACCCATGTGGGGGGCCAGGACAGAAGAAGAGGAGGAGGTAGAGGAGGACATTGGTGCTCAGGAATTATTGAGTGAAATGGGTGGTTTTTCCACTCAGCGGACAGGAGTGGGAGGAGCAGGAGCATCTGGTAGAGGAGGAGGAGGAGACAGAGGACCCAGATGCACCGTGGCAGTATGCTGTGGAGATGGAGGCAGGGAGTCCCTCGCATTCCTTGGCACAAATGGCCCATAGCATGCTCGGTTGCTTGCGTAGCGGACGGCCGAATAATAACCATCAGACAGAGGATGACTTTTGGCTGTCCACCTTGTTGGACCCTCGCTACCGTTCAAAAAATGGTGGCCTTTTTCACCACCTGCTGAGAGGGAGGCCAAAATAACGTACTATAAAAACCACCTATGTAGTCAGTTGGTCTCTGCCTTTGTGCGCCAACGTCCATTCCTCAGACACTGTGTGGCCTGTGCGCTCGCGTTCCACTGCCATGGCAGCAGGGGAGGGGTGGGGGTGGTTAGGAGCAGTGGCAGCTCCACCAGCAGCGGCTGCCTCAGTCTGCAGTCGATGATGAGTAGCTTTCTTCACCAGCGCAGTGAGGAGGAAACTACTAAACCAGCCGCTTCAGCAGCAAAGCAGCATCAGGTGGACCTGGAGCAGGACCTCAAACAACAGGATTAGGCCTACTTGGACAGCACCCTGCCAACCGAGGTAGACAAATCCCCTTGACTACTGGGCAACGAAACTTGACCTTTGGCCCCAACTAGCTGAATTTGCCCTTGAAAGGCTGTCATGCCCGGGCACAGTAGCGTTGGCATCAGAGCGCGTGTTTAGTGCTGGCGGCAGGAGGTATTGTAACTCCGCGGGAGGACACGACTGTCCACCCAAAGTGTGGAGGAGACTCACGTTTGTGAAAATGAATCAGGCGCGTGGATTAGTATGGATTTCAAACCACCAGTTCCTGACACAACTGATTAAATCCGCCATGAATCATGCCCCAAATTTGTGCCACTTTCAGGTCTCCTCACACGCTGGTGGGTTCCATTTTGTCTTAGGGTGCTGGCAGATTATCGTGCCTCCCATTGCTGCTGAACAGGCCCGTAATCTGCCATGGGCCCCTGTTACCGCCTCCTCATGCTTGCTGCCAGGTCCAAAGTGTCTCATGGGTCCCTGTAACGGCTCTCCATTGCTGCTGTCTCCATCGCCACACTCTGCCTTGATGCCACTTTCAGGTCTCCGCACACTGCTGGTGGGTTTCCATTTTTGTCATAGGGTGCTGGCAGATTTACGGGCCTCCCATTGCTGTGCTGCCAGGCCCGTAATCTGCCATGGGCCCCTGTACCGCATCCTCATGCTGCTGCCAGGTCCACAGTGTGCTATATGGGTCCCTGTACGGCCTCCCATTGCTGCTGTCTCTATCGCCACACTCTGCCATGGTGCCACTTTCAGGTCTCCGCACACTGCCGCTGGTGGGTTCCATTTTTTGTCATAGGGTGGCTGGCAGATTACGGGCCTCCCTTTGCTGCTGCCAGGGCCCCTAATCTGCCATGGGCCCCTGTACCGCCTCCTCATGCTGCTGCCAGGTCCAAAGTGTCTCATGGGTCCCTGTACGGCCTCCCATTGCTGCTGTCTCCATCGCCACACTCTGCCGTGTGCCACTTTCAGGGTCTCCTCACACTGCTGGTGGGTTCCCATTTTGTCATAGGGTGCTGGCAGATTACGTGCCTCCCATTGCTGCTGCCAGGCCCGTAATCTGCCATGGGCCCCTGTTACCGCCTCCTCATGCTGCTTGCCAGGTCCAAAGTGTCTCATGGGTCCCTGTACGGCCTCCCATTGCTGCTGTCTCCATCGCCACACTCTGCCATGTGCCACTTTCAGGTCTCCGCACACTGCTGGTGGGTTCCATTTTGTCATAGGGTGCTGGCAGATTACGGGCCTCCCATTGCTGCTGCCAGGCCCGTAATCTGCCATGGGCCCCTGTACCGCCTCCTCATGCTGCTGCCAGGTCCACAGTGTCTCATGGGGCCCCTTGTACGGCCTCCCATTGCTGCTGTCTCCATCGCCACACTCTGCAATGTGCCACTTTCAGGTCTCCGCACACTGCTGGTGGGTTCCATTTTGTCATAGGGTGCTGGCAGATTACGGGCCTCCCATTGCTGCTGCCAGGCCCCTAATCTGCCATGGGCCCCCGTACCGACTCCTCATGCTGCTGCCAGGCCCGTAATCTGTCATGGGCCCCTGTACCGCCTCCTCATGCTGCTGCCAGGTCCAGAGTGTGTCATGGGTCCCTGTACCGCCTCCTCATGCTGCTGCCAGGCCCGTAATCTGCATGGGCCCCCGTACCGACTCCTCATGCTGCTGCCAGGCCCGTAATCTGTCATGGGCCCCTGTACCGCCTCCTCATGCTGCTGCCAGGTCCAGAGTGTGTCATGGGTCCCTGTACGGCCTCCCATTGCTGCTGCCAGGCCCGTAATCTGCCATGAGCCCCTGTACCGACTTCCCCATGCTGCTGCCAGGCCGTAATCTGTCATGGGCCCCTGTACCGCCTCCTCATGCTGCTGCCAGGTCCACAGTGTGTCATGGGTCTCTGTACGGCCTCCCATTGCTGCTGTGTCCATTGCCACACTCTGCCATATGCCACTTTCAGGTCTCCTCACACTGCTGGTGGATTCCATTTTGTCATAGGGTGCTGTATGGCCTCCCATTGCTGCTGCCAGGCCCTAATCTGCCATGGGCCCCCCTACCGCCTCCTCATGCTGCTGCCAGGCTCGTAATCTGTCATGGGCCCCTGTACCGCCTCCTCATGCTGCTGCCAGGTCCAGAGTGTGTCATGGGTCCCTGTACGGCCTCCCATTGCTGCTGCCAGGAGGCAGCAGGGTCTCAGCAGTGTCAGTGGAGGCAAACGGCCACGGAATAGAGCACCAGCTCCACTGCAGCCTACCACCACGGCCAGTAGTGGTGCCGGTGTGCACGGAGGAAGTAGCAGTCAGCCAGTGAGGAGTAGCGGGGGCAAAGTTTCCTACTCGGCGGTGTGGCAATTTTTCCTCAAGCCGCCCCGAGGAAGTAAACGTTGCCGTATGTCGACTATGTGGCCAGAAAGTCAAGCGTGGCCAGGGGGCCCATGTTGGGACTACAGAGTTGCGTCAGCATATGCAGCGTCGCCATTCGGTGGCCTGGGAAAACCGTGATAAAGATACGGCGGTTCTGCCTGCCCCAGCCCAGGGTTCCATTTTGTCATAGGGTGCTGGCAGATTACGGGCCTCCCATTGCTGCTGCCAGGCCCGTAATCTGCCATGGGCCCCCCGTACCGCCTCCTCATGCTGCTGCCAGGCCCGTAATCTGTCATGGGCCCCTGTACCGCCTCCTCATGCTGCTGCCAGGTCCACAGTGTCTCATGGGTCCCTGTACGGCCTCCCAATGCTGCTGTCTCCATCGCCACACTCTGCCATGTGCCACTTTCAGGTCTCCGCACACTGCTGGTGGGTTCCATTTTGTCATAGGGTGCTGGCAGATTACGGGCCTCCCATTGCTGCTGCCAGGCCCGTAATCTGCCATGGGCCCCTGTACCGCCTCCTCATGCTGCTGCCAGGTCCACAGTGTCTCATGGGTCCCTGTACGGCCTCCCATTGCTGCTGTCTCCATCGCCACACTCTGCCATGTGCCACTTTCAGGTCTCCTCACACTGCTGGTGGGTTCCATTTTGTCATAGGGTGCTGTATGGGCCTCCCATTGCTGCTACCTCCACCGCCACACTGTGGCTCCACACTCTGGTTTTGGCCCCGTGACTGCCCAAATGAGTGAAGTGTGCGGTGATTCTAAGATCGACGGCACTCATCTGCATGTCATACTGACTGACAGTATTATTTCTCTTCCCCAGCAGACTGCAAGGGCATTTAAATTAAAGGTACAGTGTTCTGCACTAATATAAAGGCTCTCTGAAGCCTAGAAACACCCTTTTATAAGTTAAATTCGCAGCGAATATATTCGACTCGAATCGATTTTTTTCCACGAATTCGCCGAATCAGCCGAATCGAATTTTTGAATAATTCGCTCATCTCTATTTACCACATATAGTTTTCCTAGTTTTATTAAATGTAATCAGTATTATTAAATTTGACCAGTAGAGGGTGCTCTTCCCATGTAATATTGTTATAATGGTGATCTGATTTAGTTATTTAATTTATTTAATTGATTTATTTATTTATTTTAGTATAGTTTATTGTATTTAATCAAATATATTTATGGATTTTATTACTATTATAGTAGAATATCTAATTAGGATCATTATTATGTAATAACTAGAGATGAGCGAATTATTCAAAAATTCGATTCGACTGATTCGGTGAATTCGTGGAAAAAATTTGATTCGAATCGAATATATTCGCTGCAAATTTAACTTATAAAAGGGTGTTTCTAGGCTTCAGAGAGCCTTTATATTAGTGCAGAACACTGTACCTTTAATTTAAATGCCCTTGGAGTCTGCTGGGGAAGAGAAATAATACTGTCAGTCAGTATGACATGCAGATGAGTGCCGTCGATCTTAGAATCACCGCACACTTCACTCATTTGGGCAGTCACGGGGCCAAAACCAGAGTGTGGAGCCACAGTGTGGCTGTGGAGGCAGCAGCAATGGGAGGCCATACAGCACCCTATGACAAAATGGAACCCACCAGCAGTGTGAGGAGACCTGAAAGTGGCACATGGCAGAGTGTGGCGATGGAGACAGCAGCAATGGGAGGCCGTACAGGGACCCATGACACACTCTGGACCTGGCAGCAGCATGAGGAGGCGGTACAGGGGCCCATGACAGATTTCGGGCCTGGCAGCAGCATGAGGAGTCGGGACGGAGGCCCATGGCAGATTACGGGCCTGGCAGCAGCAATGGGAGGCCATACAGCACCCTATGACAAAATGGAACCCACCAGCAGTGTGAGGAGACCTGAAAGTGGCACATGGCAGAGTGTGGCGATGGAGACAGCAGCAATGGGAGGCCGTACAGGGACCCATGACACACTCTGGACCTGGCAGCAGCATGAGGAGGCAGTACAGGGGCCCATGACAGATTACGGGCCTGGCAGCAGCATGAGGAGTCGGTACGGGGGCCCATGGCAGATTACGGGCCTGACAGCAGCAATGGGAGGCCGTACAGGGACCCATGACACACTCTGGACCTGGCAGCAGCATGAGGAGGCGGTACAGGGGCCCATGACAGATTACGGCCTGGCAGCATCATGAGGAGTCGGGACGGGGGCCCATGGCAGATTACGGGCCTGGCAGCAGCAATGGGAGGCCATACAGCACCCTATGACAAAATGGAACCCACCAGCAGTGTGAGGAGACCTGAAAGTGGCACATGGCAGAGTGTGGCGATGGAGACAGCAGCAATGGGAGGCCGTACAGGGACCCATGACACACTCTGGACCTGGCAGCAGCATGGAGGCGGTACAGGGGCCCATGACAGATTACGGGCCTGGCAGCAGCATGAGGAGTCGGTACGGGGGCCCATGGCAGATTACGGGCCTGGGCAGCAGCAATGGGAGGCCGTACAGGGACCCATGACACACTCTGGACCTGGCAGCAGCATGAGGAGGCGGTACAGGGGCCCATGACAGATTACGGGCCTGGCAGCAGCATGAGGAGTCGGTACGGGGTCCCATGGCAGATTACGGGCCTGGCAGCAGCAATGGGAGGCCGTACAGGGACCCATGACACACTCTGGACCTGGCAGCAGCATGAGGAGGCGGTACAGGGGCCCATGACAGATTACGGGCCTGGCAGCAGCATGAGGAGTCGGTACGGGGGCCCATGACACACACACTCGGGACCTGGCAGCAGCATGAGGAGGCGGTACAGGGGCCCATGACAGATTACGGGCCTGGCAGCAGCATGAGGAGTCGATACGGGGGCCCATGGCAGATTACGGGCCTGGCAGCAGCAATGGGAGGCCGTACAGGGACCCATGACACACTCTGGACCAGGCAGCAGCATGAGGAGGCGGTACAGGGGCCCATGACAGATTACAGGCCTGGAAGCAGCATGAGGAGTCGGTACGGGGGCCCATGACACACTGTGGACCTGGCAGCAGCATGAGGAGGCGGTACAGGGGCCCATGACAGATTACGGGCCTGGCAGCAGCATGAGGAGTCGGTACGGGGGCCCATGGCAGATTACAGGCCTGGCAGCAGCAATGGGAGGCCGTACAGGGACCCATGACACACTCTGGACATGGCAGCAGCATGAGGAGGCGGTACAGGGGCCCATGGCAGATTACGGGCCTGGCAGCAGCAATGGGAGGCCGTACAGGGACCCATGACACACTCTGGACCAGGCAGCAGCATGAGGAGGCGGTACAGGGGCCCATGACAGATTACGAGCCTGGCAGCAGCATGAGGAGTCGGTACGGGGGCCCAAGACACACTCTGGACCTGGCAGCAGCATGAGGAGGCGGTACAGGGGCCCATGACAGATTACGGGCCTGGCAGCAGCATGAGGAGTCGGTACGGGGGCCCATGGCAGATTACGGGCCTGGCAGCAGCAATGGGAGGCCGTACAGGGACCCATGACACACTCTGGACCTGGCAGCAGCATGTGGAGGCGGTACAGGGGCCCATGACAGATTACGGGCCTGGCAGCAGCATGAGGAGTCGGTACGGGGGCCATGGCAGATTACGGGCCTGGCAGCAGCAATGGGAGGCCGTACAGGGACCCATGACATACTCTGGACCTGGCAGCAGCATGAGGAGTCGGTACAGGTCCCATGGCAGATTACGGGCCTGGCAGCAGCAATGGGAGGCCCGTAATCTGCCAGCACCCTATGACAAAATGGAACCCACCAGCAGTGTGAGGAGACCTGAAAGTGGCACATGGCAGAGTGTGGCGATGGAGACAGCAGCAATGGGAGGCCGTACAGGGACCCATGACACACTGTGGACCTGGCAGCAGCATGAGGAGGCGGTACAGGGGCCCATGGCAGATTAGGGGCCTGGCAGCAGCAATGGGAGGCCCGTAATCTGCCAGCACCCTATCACAAAAATGGAACCCAGCAGCAGTGTGAGGAGACCTGAAAGTGGCACATGGCAGAGTGTGGCGATGGAGACAGCAGCAATGGGAGGCCGTACAGGGACCCATGACACACTGTGGACCTGGCAGCAGCATGAGGAGAGGCGGTACAGGGGCCCATGGCAGATTACGGGCCTGGCAGCAGCAATGGGAGGCCCGTAATCTGCCAGCACCCTATGACAAAATGGAACCAGCAGCAGTGTGAGGAGACCTGAAAGTGGCACATGGCAGAGTGTGTGGCGATGGAGACAGCAGCAATGGGAGGCGGTACAGGGACCCATGAGACACACTGTGGACCTGGCAGCAGCATGAGGAGGCTGTACAGGGGCCCATGACAGATTACGGGCCTGGCAGCAGCATGAGGAGTCGGTACGGGGGCCCATGGCAGATTACGGGCCTGGCAGCAGCAATGGGAGGCCATACAGCACCCTATGACAAAATGGAACCCAGCAGCAGTGTGAGGAGACCTGAAAGTGGCACATAGCAGAGTG